TATTCTACAGATTATTCCATCGATTAATCGAGTAATCGGATAAGATGTCATTTTTCTTTATTAAAGAGCAATACTAAATATAAAAGAGATAATAAGATCTTTTAAAAATAAACAACTAATTTGTTTTCTTTTTAGACAAATTAACATTTTTATTGCTGAAATTGCATACATAACCGTGAAAACTAAACCCATTTAATGCATTTAATTGCCAAATTGCATTCAAAATGCAAATACAAATATATAACTAAAATACAAATATAAAAGAAATCAATAAAAAACAAAAATCAGTTTCACATTACTTTAAAAAGGTAAACAGTACAAACTAAAACGAAGGCATAAATCAAAATAATAGTAATAGTTAAGAAGTGAGTCATTGCGATTGAACCGGATCATTTAAATGGTTAATTCGTTCAGGAACGAAATGCCGTCATGTTGCTCAGAGACGCAAAACAGCGCTGTGGCTGTGTTTGGAATTTTTTAATTTTTTTTGCAAAATCAGGCAATATAGTGTCTAAAACGTAAGTCTCTTAATATTACTTTCTTGTTTATTGAACTGTTGAATAAAATCACATTTGTAATCATGCTGATTTTAGAGGTGAAAACTGACACTCTTTCTTTCTGTGGTGTTTTTATGCACAATGGCGCTTAATCTTTCACAAAACATAACAAACGTAGGGACATCATAACTAGCCACCATATTGATTTATGATCTTAAATATGTCCAGCGCTTTTTTTACAGTCTGTGGTCCAGCGTTTATCGGGTTTTTTTTGTATTCGAGTTATTTGAGGTATTCGAGGAATCGTTTCAGCCCTAATTACAGTCATAACAAAATCACACATCATAATATGTACTAGGGCTGCTCTCGACTAAGGATTTTTCTGGTCGACTAGTAGTCGTTCATTTTAAGCATTAGTCGACTAATCGCACGTTTATTAATAAACCATTTAAATCATAATAATGAGCCTTTAACTGCCTACATAGCCTAATAAGCGCTCAAGCGCACGCATAAAGCTTGCCACAGCACACCGGCAGAAGTAATAATGATGAATGTGTCAGTGAAAAACAGTAAAGAGACTGCATTAACATTTTAATAATTTGATAAACAAGTGTTTTCTTTGTTTTTGGCTTAAGAGATGAACTCTGCGACACGTCATCTCCGCTGTAGTGGACACACTTGTTTCATACGGATTGGAGAATTTGTTTTCCATTTGAATTGGTTCATTTGAAAGTAGACATTTCACTCTCTATTTTTAATGTCTGTAAGGTAAAGATATACACGGAGTTTTGTGCTCAAGTTCACAGACCGAGACGATAGAAAGCGCATCCTGTTTGCTTTCATTATTTTACAAAAGCACAATGTTTTGTTGTGATTGTGAGTGCACACAAATTAAAGTAGAGTCTATACAGATTTGAAAGATGCATTACTCTTATCTGTTTGACCAAAAATGAGGGAATATTTTAGGAGCAAGTGACCGCACCGACGCCACCATCTGTCCTGCAGTGAGCGTGCTACTAGCTTCCACACTCCACACAGACAATATAGCGCTCATTTCTCTAGGTTAACATTAGATTGAGCAGCCATGTCAAGTTTCTAATACTTACATATTTCAGATGATAAGCCATATTTGAGGTTGATGAATGATAGGCGAGCGTTTGGATGTCCTGCCTGATGTACTGTATTACCATAGACTAAAGTTAGCCGTTAACGATCTGTCCGTCACGAACTGCGTGATTTCGCCTGTGGATTTTTTTTTATTAAAACTTTTTCCGCGACCAATAAAATGTTGGTCGACCAAGCCTCTTCTGGTCGACTATTAGGGGGCCGCCTTAATATGTACACAAAATACTTTTTTAAAATGTGCAGTTACAGCTGGGTAAAAGGTATTATCAATATTAATTATGAATTATTTTTTAATAATAGTACAATTAATGTCTATGTACTTAGACATGTCATTATTAATAATAATTATTAATAACATAAAAAATAATTAAAATACAATTATGTTTTTTTTGCAATTATTACTGGAACCTATATAGCTTGTAACACCATGAGCTTTTTATTCAATGACTATGACATAATGGTGCAAATCATTTATTATTTATTATGCTTAAGTCATTATATATTACGTTATATATGTATAGTATAACTTCTAGCAATTATAATATACTTATTTTTAATATAATCATATGTTTTTATTATATAGAAATGTAATATTTTATGGTGGGACAAGTGAACAAATTTATAATAGTTTTTAATTCAAATTTTTTTTTTTTAATTTATGACAGTGGTACAAAACATTTTTTGTTTTAAATTTATATCCTCTTATATAATATATGTTGTTTATAATTATATATTTTTATTTATAGTTTTTAACACATTCTATATTGTAACGTAATATTTTGTATACTAACAATTATAATAGATTTATTTAGAATTTAATAATATGTCTATAAAATGTATTATGTTTATGGTGTAACAAATGAATTTGCAGGGCAAGTGAAAAGCTGAACTACTGGTCTAACTGGAACGGCAGAAAGCAAATCCTTATTGTTGAGCCCTGATCTATGTCACTGTTGTATCCCATAATGCCCTGGGGTATTAATAATCCAAACCACTAGAGACTGTAAAGGTGCAGTTCAGATGCAAAAGCTTGCTTTTGTATTCAATAGAAAGTTATCATGTCTATTCCTGAACATAAACACACCATCAAAGTAAAAACCTTATGAATGGGCCATTTTGCTGAATGTCAATCTTCTTTTGAAAACTACTGAATTTGTATATAAAAGAAAGGTTCATTCATAATTTTATTTTATTTCTCTTTTTGCTGGCCAGACTCACTACCTGCTGTATGGAACAGGAATGCAGACATGGGAATATTCCCCAGCCTATGCGATTCGGTCCTATGCGTATCTTTGGCTCCATGCCCTTCCTGCCTGCTTTCATGCCAAAATATTACAAACCAACAAGGTAAATTAGTCGCCAAACTCAAACTGATTGTTTAGCCATCTTGATTTTTTTTTTTTTTTTTTTTAAGCATTTTCAATATAGTAGGATATTTCTATGACCAGTGAAGTTGATACTTATCCTCACTGGAATCTGAAAAATCTGACCCTTGGAGCTGGATAAAAGCTGTGGATCCACAAACACAACATGATGTAATAATGCGTTATATTTCACAATGCCATTTTTTATGTTATGTTTCTTTGGGGTACAATTTTGCTTTTGCTCAATCACAACTTTATCCAGGACTTCTCAAATGTCATTTTAAATGGCTCTCTGCTATAATTTTCGTTTAGTTTAACGATTAGTTTTCGTTAAATTTAGATCTGGCACACCCTGTTATGCAAAGTGACGTTGCATTCAAAGTATATATTGTCAATTCGTGCATTCCATGGGAACTGGTGCTGCTGTATGTGCCATGCTGAGCAAAATAAGATGAATGTTCCTTTTAGATGGACTGTATATAGGCCATTCATTATAGTCCTGCTTAGACATGTACAAATTGACTAATATGTTTTTTGAATTCTTTTGTTCCCGTTCAGGTCCTTGTGTTTTATTTCCTGCGCTGCATGCTAGCTTTTACCTGCTGTGTGTGTGAGCTCTACTTCTACAAGTAAGTGCTACTACATATTGCACCTTACATCAGCATTGGGCTAAAATAGGTGACTCTTACAACGAATGTGGTTTATTGACACAGGGCTGTGTGTAAAAAGTTTGGCCTGCATGTGGGCCGGCTTCTGCTGGCGTTCCTAGTCTTGAGTGCAGGGATGTTCTGCTCCTCTGCAGGTGAGTCAGATCAGTGGCTCATATTTGGCTTATCTGGTTGATCAGAGGAAATTAGATGACAACTGTTTGTTTTCCCGTTTTCTTTTTTGACATAATTTTGTGAATGAACTGCAGGTTAATGTGTTTGTTATGTGCAGCTTTCCTCCCCAGTACGTTTTGTATGTACAGTACAGTGGTAGCTATGACTGGCTGGTTCCAGGTTTCCTTAATTTCAACATTGTATTTGTGTTGGCCCTCTTTTCTCTTCCTCTCACGGCACTTATGGAGGCACTGCTCCAAAGATTCAATGGTAAGAGAAGGATTTATCTTTGACTTGTTTTGTGATATGCATGTAACGTTCTGAACAGTCTGTTAATCTGTATAAATTGCAGTTCAGAACCTCGGCCGGCCATACTGGTTAACCCTGTCACCTATGTACCTGTGGATGCTGGTGTTCTTCACTCGTCCACATAAAGAGGAGCGCTTTCTGTTTCCCATCTACCCTCTCATCTGTCTGTGCGGGGCAGTGTCTCTATCATCACTGCAGGTTAGAAACAGTAGACTGAATTTTTTGCTGATGGTGATACAGTGGTACTGAATGATTAGCATATCCATTTACCATGATATTTCTTTACTCTGCCGTTCAAAATGTTGTTGTCGGTAAGATTTTTTTGTGTGTTTTGTTTTTGAAAGAATTCTCTTATGTTCACCAAGGCTGCATTTATTTAAACAAACATACAGTAAAAACAGTAATTTTGTGAAATTGTATTATTTATATTATTTCTTTTTTAAAATGAATAAAATGTCATTTATTCCTGTGATGGCAAAGCTGGATCAGCAGTCATTACTCCAGTCTTCAGTGTCACATGTTTAGAAATCATTGTAATATGCTGATTTGGTGCTCAACATAAGTGTTTAAAACGGTTAACAGTGTTCAAAAGAACATTTATTTGAAAAAAAAAAATTTAAACATTGAAATAAAATTTGTATCAATAGGAATTGTAACAAATGTCTTTACTGTCGCTTTTGATCAATTTAATGCATCCTTGCTGAATAAAAGTAGTCATATTTAAAATAAAATCTTACTGATTTCAAACTTTTGAATTGTAGTGTAACTGAAACTTTTCAAAACAAAACATTAGTATATGTCCAAAAACTATGGACAACTGCACATCTTTATTGGCATATTTCCTCAATGTTGTGCAAATTAGTTTGCTGTTAAACCTGTGTAAAATATGAATGTGATACTTCAAATCATTTCCCATTTTAAACACTTTTCTGTCTGTTTATCCATGTAGAAATGCTATCACTTCATATTCCAGCGCTACCGTCTGGAGCACTACACCATCTCCTCCAACTGGCTGGCTCTCGGCTCTGTGCTGCTGTTTGGAGTGCTCTCGCTGTCCCGATCTGTGGCTCTCTTCAGAGGTAAGGATGTTGAGAGAGAGGGACCAAGAGATTTTGGCCAGTTCTGCTGAAATTTGCCCTCACAGTAGAGTTATCTAGCTGGCAGATGAAGTTGATGATAAAACAGAATGATAAAAATCATATTCTTTACCTTGTGCAGTAAAGTACTGCTTTTGTGATTTCTCTCACATGGGGTTGCTGTGTGTTTTAAGGCTATCATGCTCCGCTGGATTTATATCCAGAATTTCATCGCATTGCTAAAGATCCTACAATCCACACGGTTCCAGAGGGAAGATTGGTCAATGTTTGTGTGGGGAAAGAGTGGTACCGCTTCCCTAGCAGCTTTCTGCTGCCCAACAAGTGAGTTTGAATTCTAATTAAATTCTCAAAGACTGCACATAAATTTAAACTACCGTTCAAAGAGATATTTTTTTTTATACTTAGTTTTATTCAGCAAGAATGCATTCAGAGGTAAGGATGTTGAGAGAGAGGGACCAAGAGATTTTGGCCAGTTCTGCTGAAATTTGCCCTCACAGTAGAGTTATCTAGCTGGCAGATGAAGTTGATGATAAAACAGAATGATAAAAATCATATTCTTTACCTTGTGCAGTAAAGTACTGCTTTTGTGATTTCTCTCACATGGGGTTGCTGTGTGTTTTAAGGCTATCATGCTCCGCTGGATTTATATCCAGAATTTCATCGCATTGCTAAAGATCCTACAATCCACACAGTTCCAGAGGGAAGATTGGTCAATGTTTGTGTGGGGAAAGAGTGGTACCGCTTCCCTAGCAGCTTTCTGCTGCCCAACAAGTGAGTTTGAATTCTAATTAAATTCTCAAAGACTGCACATAAATTTAAACTACCGTTCAAAGAGATATTTTTTTATATACTTAGTTTTATTCAGCAAGAATGCATTAAATGGATCAAAAGTAAAGACATTTATAATATTACAAAAGATTTCAAATAAATGTTTCAAGTAAATGCTGTTCTTTTGAACTTTTATTCATTAAAGAATTTTGAAAAAACTTATTTCCACAACAAATGTTAACATTTACATTAACATTTACTTTTGTCCAAAGTGACTTACAATTGGGGAATACATAAAGCGATTCTTCTTAAAGAGGCAAACAGACTCAGGAAGTGCTCGTAATACCAAGTTTCAGGCATTTGTTCAAATAAGTACAAGCTAGAAAGGGAAGGATAAATCAAGAGAAAGACAAAGTTTTTATTTATTTTTTATTTTTTAAATTTAGGATGAAGTCAAGTAGCGTCGAAAGAGATGAGTTTTCAGCTTTCGCTTGAAAATTGTCAGGGATTGAGCATTCCAGTTGGGGGTGGGAAGATCATTCCACCAGCCAGGAGTGGTGAACAAGAATGTTCTGGAAAGTGATTTTGAGCCTCTCTGTGATGGTACCACGAGGCATCGCTCACTAGCGGATCTCAGACTTCTGGAGGGGATGTAGATTCGTAAGAGTGAGTGGAAGTAGGCGGGTGCTGAGCCTGTGGCTGTTCTATATGCAAGCATCAATGTCTTGAACTGTAACATGGGCTCTTTTGGGCTCATTGAAGACCAGTCGTGCCGCTGCATTCTGAATCTTTTGTAGAGGTTTGATTGTGCTTGATGGAAGTCCAGCCAGAAGAGCATTGCAGTAGTCCAGCCTAGAAATGACAAGGGCCTGGACAAGAAGTTGTGCAGCATGCTCCATTAGAAAGGGCCTGATCTTTCTGATGTTGTGCAATGCAAACCTTCAAGATCGCGCAGTCTTTGCAATGTGGTCTTTGAAGGTCAGCTGGCTATCAAAGATTACACCAAGATTTCTGACCGAAGTTGATGGGGTAATTGTAGAAGAACCTAGCTGAATGTGAAATTATGCTGTAGAGTTGGAGTGGCAGGGAAGACAAGAAGCTCAGTCTTTGCCAGGTTGAGCTGTAGGTGATATTCTTTCTTCCATGCCAAGATGTCCGCCAGGCAGCCTGAGATCTGTGCAGTTACCGTTGGATCATCTGGTTGAAATGAGAGAGAGAGCTGTGTGTCATCTGCATAGCAATGGTAGGAGAAGCCATATGCCTGTATGATGGTTCCCAGTGATGTAGTGTATATGGAGAAGAGGAAGGGTCCAAGAACTGATCCCTGAGGAACCCCGGTGACCAGTTGATGTGCTTTGGATAACACTCCTCCCCAGGACACCCTGAAAGACCTACCAGTGAGATAGGATTCAAACCAGCGAAGTGGAATCCCTGTGATGCCCAGTGATGAGAGGGCGGACAGGAGGATCTGATGATTGACTGTCAAAAGCAGCAGATAGATTAATAAGAACTGATGATTTGGAATCAGCTTTTGAATGGCCACTCCTGAAACCTGACTGGTTAGTGTTCAGTTTGTTGTTCTGTGAAAGAAACAATGATACCTGTTTGAAAACAACTCGTTTGAGGGTTTTCGCAATGAATGGAAGGAGAGAGACAGATCTGTAGCTATCTGTAAGTGAAGTGTTTAATTTAGGTTTTTTGAGCAGTGGGGTTACCTGAGCCTGCTTGAATGCAGTGGGGAAAGTGCCTGTGAGAAGATATGTGTTAATGATGTGTGTGAGTGCTGGTAAGAGTGTAGGAGTGTATGTTAAGCAGCACAACTGTTTTCAACATTGATAATAATAGGAAATGTTTCTTGAGCAGCAAATCAGCATATTAGAATGATTGCTGAAGGATCATGTGACACTGAAGACTGGAGTAATGATGCTGAAATTTCAGCTTTGCCATTACAGGAATAAATTACATTTAAAATATACTGAAATATTGTAATAATATTTCACAATATTACAGTTTTGGATATTTTTGATCAAATGAATGCAGCCGTAGGATAAGATAAGAAACAATTTTCAAAAACAAAAAAAATCATACAACCCTCTAACTTTTGAACGGTACTATAGATCTATAATATATATTAACTGTTAACTGTGTCGTCTTTTTTTGCAGCTGGCACTTACAGTTCATCCAGTCAGAGTTCAGGGGTCAGTTGCCTAAGCCATATGCCATGGGTCCTGATGCCACCTGGATAATCCCATCAGACATGAATGATCAGAATCTTGAGGAGCCGTCACGATACGTGAGCGATCCACTACAAACACCTCAAATTGGCATTTGACTCATTGCAAGGTTATAAAGCCTAATAACTGAGCTGAATGTGTGAAAGCACACTCTGTTGTTTTCTTTTTTTAAAGAATCAAGATCAACAGAGATTTTACTCCGCCGCCCCCAAATAGTAGTTCCTCTTTATTGGTTAATGGTAAAAATCAATTTCACTCTAAAGAGTTTGAATGTCAATTTTTCCTTTGGAAAATAAACTATTGAGATTTTTAACTCCCCTTTTATTTATTTATTTACTTTTTAACTCTACACCAGTTCAAAGAAATATAACTAGTGTTACTTATCTAAAATCTTTACTTATGTCTGCATATGTCATTGTTGCAGCTGTATGTGAAGTACTTCCATGTTCTCTGGCTCTCAGGTAGAACTAAAGCAGTGTCATTACCTGGTGGATCTGGCAACAGAAACAGAAGCCCCTCGTGAACCACGATATGCCACTAACAAAGAGGAGTGGAGCATTATTGCTGAAAAGCCTTTTTTAGACACTACTAGGCAAGTCTTTATGTGTGGAGTATGGACAAATGCGTGGAAATTTGTTAATGTACTAGAGATTCTTGTGGATAATCCATGCAGAGTGATGAATACTACTGTAAAGAATCATTGAAAATCGTAGGGCCCACTAGAGGGCCCCCTTGTTCTTTTAAAGATACTTGTTCTTATGACGTCTTTGTCAAGTGCTCAACATAAATTGTTGTGACACTGGATGTCTGATCATCCGAAGAGAGATTATCCTTGACCCAGTTTATCAGTAATTATCTCTGGGTGTCGTTATTCATGAAGAAATAAATGTAGAAATGTTTTATTTTTAAAGAAAGTGGATCTAAAATGATGGATTTTGTATACTGTCTTGTGCATATTATGCTATTTTTCGCTGTTCATGACCCTGGTGCTGTTCCCTTTCCGTGTCTCTCCCACACAGGTCCTCCAGATTGCTCAGGGCCTTTTTTATCCCATTTCTGTCTGAGCAGTACACCACCTACAGCAGATATGTCATCCTCAAACCGAGACGACCCAAACACACCCGGAAAAGAGTGCAAGGCTGACCTGCCGTTCCTGCTATTTTTCCTTCAGCGCAGTCAAAAAGCTCCTGCAGTGCTTCATCATTTGGTCCCAAGGTGTTCCTCCTAAACTCTTTTTGTGCACACACGTGTGTGATTGTGTTTGTGTGTGTGAGTGAATTAATGTATGAATATGCCAGAGTTTGTTTGACCATCTTGGCTATCAAGCCATGCAGTATCGGCCTGTTTGTAGACTTCAGTGGTGCTGCCCATCCTGGACAGTTCCAGCACAGAGCATGGATGCCTTACCCATCTTTCCCGATAATCTTCTCTCCATTCCCTCTGTTCCTGTATTCCTGCTTGGGCTTCTTTGCGGCTTTCTGAAGCGTTTCAGAAGATTTCTGTTTAGACGACCCTTTAAGGACTACAGGTCTCTCGTTTATCACCTCATCCTTGATCTGGGAAAATGAACTGTACATGAACTGAAAATGAGTGCAGACCCAAACCAGATCTCTTGTGTCATCATCTATCCATCCATCCAGAGCTGAACTTCTGTTAATTTGTCCTGCCAGCCTCAGCATCTCAGGATGAAAGTTGCACCAAAAACTCTCTCGGTGTTCTCCAGTTCCGTCATCTGTAAATGTGGACATTGACTGTGAGGTCAGACTGCAGACCAGGACTATTGAGTGTTTACATCCCAAATCATGTTTGTCATCGTAATCATATCAGTGTTAACTGTGATTGAGTCAAATAAAAGAAGGCTGTCTTAATGTGTGGCTGTGCCATCTCAGAGAAATCATCTCGGAAAGCCGAGAAGCATCAAGGAAGTGTTATTTCCAAGTCTAAAACAGTCACTGAAATATGTAAAATCTTAAATCAGTGATTTTTTTTTTCCTGCTCTGCTCCATAAAAAAAATTATAAAATCTAAAAATAAAACATCTAAAAGTTATCATATATTTATATTTAATATAAAAAGTGTATCCTAGTTCTGCTGTTTAAAAAAATCAATTTTATTTAAAACTAGACTAAATCTAAAAATTATCACATTTCTATTTAATTTCAAACATGTAAACATTTTCCCCTAGATTTGCTCTGCTGTAAAAACGAGATTATTTTTTACTTCAAAATGTTTTCTAAAAATATCACACATTTATATATCATTTTAAATATGTAAATGTTTTTCCTACTTCTGCTCTGTTCTAAAAAAGTAAATTAGTAGTATTGCAAAAAAATATATAAATTATAAAATGTTTTCCTATTAAAAAAAATCACAAATTAAATAAAATTAAAACATTAAATATGTAATGTGTCCCAGTTTTGCTAAACTGTAAAAAAATACAAATATTTATTTTACTTGAAAAATTATCAAATATTTAATAGTAAATATGTATATGTGTGTGTATGTATACGTGTATGTGTATATATATATATACACACATGTATAAAGTAAGAAAGATTCTATAAAGTATTAATTAAAAGCTTCTTGATGTGCAAATGGAAATCCACCACCACAGTCTCTTTCCAAAAAATACAAAAACAGACTTGAAAGGTCATGTAATAAATTCTTTGGTCAAAAAGTATGAAAACCCAGAGTTTCGTGTCAGATTTGCTCGTGCAACTGTAAGTGGGTAAAGGGACCAAGATCAGCATTAACTAACAACTTTCTAGTGTCAAGTGACATTTTACATTTGTATAACTAAGCTTTCTTTAGAAACCACAAATAATAGAGATGGCTGCTTTTTCATGATGTTTTTGAGTTAAGTGCTACAGCTCTGGGGTCCAGAGGCTCAGATTTATGACTGAACAGCATCGCCCAGAAACACGCATCATTTCCCCTATGTGTCATTGTTGGTTCTGTTGGTTAGAAAATAGGTACGCCGTGGTGGATAGATTGTGGGTGTATGTAAACATGCTGAGGGCAATGAATGTGTGGCTTGTGGGATTATTAAGCTGTCTACACGTTAAGCCCCACAACACTACAGGGAACTCTGATCCTGTTTAAATCCTTCCATTGACGCTATACACTATGATGCAGAACCCCTCTGAAACATAGATGAGACATAGTTTTCCGGACACTGTTCTATGCTTCATACTTTCAATGGGATTTACAGCTAAGCAGAACAACGATCCAGAACTTCAGATGTTTACAAATTTACTGTGCTTTAAGAAAGCTGCAAATTTTTAATGGCATTATACTAATCCCTGCATAAAAGTCCAACATTTTTGGGGTGTAAAAAGTCTGTTTAGATGTGTTGGTTTGACAATGTTTGTAATATTGATTACAATTAAAATAATATACAAGATTTCATAACTCATAAACATTCATAAAAAAACTGTAAATAACAGGGAAGTTTTTCTGTGATTGTGAAATGACTGATTCATTTCTTAAATGAATAGTTCACCCCCAAAAAAAGAAAACTTGCTGAAAATGTACTCACCCCCAGGACATTGAAGGTATAGATGAGTTTGAATCTTCATCACAACAGATTTGGAGAAATGTAGCAGTACATCACTTGCTCACCAGTGGATCATCTGCAGTGAATGGGTGCCGTCAGTATGAGAGTCCAAACAGCTGATAAAAACATCACAATAATCCACGACTCCAGTACATCAATTAATATCTTGTGATGTAAAAAGCTGTGTATGTGTTAAGAAACAAATCCACATTATGACGTTTTAACCATTGCTTCTTCTGGCTAAAATATGAGTCCTCTATAACATTGCTTTCTCTAGTGAAATTTCGTCTGAATCAGGAGAGAAATATGCACAGATCAAGCACCGTTTACAAGAAGTTGTGAGAGAACAACAAGGGATGAATTTTATCACTGCATGGAGGTAGCATTATAATGGGTTATGGCCAGAAGCGACAGTTTAAAGTTAAAGACAGATTCTCATTCTGACGGCACCCATTCACTGCAAGATCCATTGGTGAGCAAGTGCTGTAATGCTAAATTACTCCAAATTTGTTGTAATGAAGAAACAAAATAGAACGTATAAAAAAATATATATATAACTGAGTCAATTATTAAATTAATATAATCATTACATATTTTGGATGGTAGTTAGCATACAATTTCTTTTTTTAAATGCAGTGCATGTATAAAGCTTGTTTGATAGCTATTAGTCGGGGCACAAAACCTGATCAGTCTGGAATTCAGATCTTGTCTGTTCCACTCTTTACATGTCAAGTCCACACCGAGTTCAGTGATCCACCATCTGCAAAGCCTCAGATATGATGAAATCAGGTAAGTGTATCGTCCTGACCATTTGCTTCTCCATCCTGGCAGGATCACCTGGCGCTGTCTGTCGGTAGACGACAGGCCAAAACCAGGAATTACTCGGCTTTTTAAAACTGTAAACCTGTTTTTATGCTGTGTATTACATGTGGCTCTGCCCTTGGTCATAAACATGCTATTTTGTGAAGCAGCTTCCTGCTACAGAGCATTGCCTGAAAATGTGTCCTGTATCCAGGGTTCCAGATTGATGTCATTTAATGCTGATACTGATTTCCCACTTTAATTCAAATCTGCACAACAACAAAAGAAACTACAAGCTTGATCTCAAGTCACCTTAATAGGGTGAGCCGGATCAATGCAATCGTTGCTTATGTGAAGATGAACACTCTTTTTTTAAAACTCAAACTAACAAAAGCAGGCCTAGTATGAATAATGGATGTCAGTGTGTTTTAATTGAACACGTATTAGCAACTGAATGCAGAACAGATGGTAGACACAAGCCCATTTAATCATACAAGACATTTTCTGTGCATATTAAATAATGATCGAGTTTCTCATGACCCTATTTCTAACAAAATGGGTTTGATTCTTTTTTTATCTTGTGTTATTGTTTATACATTTGTTTATGGAAATCACGTTTTCAAATGATGCATGTAAGGATTGTAGCGCACATTCAGAAAGACAATTATATATCCTTATAGTTTTGTTAATATTTTGTGTTAGATTTTCTTTTTATATTTTTAGTTTTCATTTTAATTTAATTCAAAGATCAGGTGCTGAAAACAGTTGATTTAATAACCTTCAATAAAACTGAAAAGCATTTAGTCTTTTGTCTCAAAATATATTAGATGAATATGTATGCAACAGCTTTAAATTATTAAATGTATTATTTTAGTATCATTGATATACCATTCGTTTTTGTTAATATTTTGAGTTAGATTTTATTTTAATTTAATTCAAAGTTTTAGTAATTTTGCTGTATTTTTTGTATTAGATTTCATATGTCCATATGGTTTTTGGCAAGTTTTAATTTGTTATTTATTAATAATAATAATAACACTGATGAGAGAACAAACTGATTAAAAGTCATTCTTGTTCATTCGTGACACTGGAAATGAAAGGTCAAGTTGGGTGCAGTGCATCATGGGATGCCATATTTCTTACAGTGTGCTGTTCTGGTTGTATCCTGGATGTTTTAGCAAATGTCACTTAAGTATTCTATGCATACAGAAAATGTGCAAACCGAGTGCACTGCACAGTATACAATTACTACCGAATAGTAAAAGTGGTAGTATCCTATTTCATTATTTATAACCAATGAAATAGGAAATGCTTCCTCAACATACTTTTTAAACAAAAGTGCAACATCAACCGTGTAAATAAAATGGAAAAAAGAGCCCACATAGTCTATAGTAATTAGTGATAGAATTTGTCACCATAGGTAAATGCTTTAGATATTTTAAATAAAACTTAAATACACATTCAAAATAACCAGTTTTACAGATAATGCATGAATAATTCCGTTTATTTAATAACCTTTTATCTAAGTGTTTTATAAGGTCTTATCTAGGTATTTTTTTAGAACTCCTCTATTATTCTGTTTTTAGTAAACAAATGGTGTATATCTTGGCACTATACAAGCATATTTTGCAAAACAAATCTCCACATACTTCACAACAAATCTATTTCCTCACAATTACGGTCAACAAGTCAAGTCACCTTTATTTATATAGCGCTTTTAACAATACCGATTGTGTCAAAGCAACTGTACAGCATTCATTAGTAAAAAAAATTGTGTGTCATTAATGCAAAATTACAACGGTAAACACTCAATTTTCAGTTAAAGGCAGTTCATCATTGAATTCAGTGATGTCATCATCCAGCTCAGTTCAGTTTAAATAGTATCTGTGCAATCAAGTCGACAATATCGCTGGAAATTAAGTGTCCCCAACTAAGCAAGCCAGAGGCGACAGCGGCAAGGAACCAAAACTCCATCGGTGACAGAATGGAGAAAAAACCTTGGGAGAAACTAGGCTCAGTCGGGGGGCCAGTTCTCCTCTGGCCAGATGAAATCCAGCAGTTCAATTCCAGGCTGCAGCAAAGTCACATTGTGCAGAGGACTCAACTGGTTCCCAGTCAACCATTAGCTATTCTTATTCCTAGAATATACTACATTTTTGTCCTCTGCCAACATAGCAGTGTTTTGATGGCCTTTATGACCACAGTCGATCTTGAGTCTAACGTTTAAATAAAAGTGTTAATTTCATTAATCATGTGAAGCTTGAAGCTAATTATAGCTATAATTTCTCTATTATACCCATATACGATTATATTCCATGATGTATTTTATCAAAATAAATCAAATAAGTTCATAAGAAAATGTTTCATTCTCTAAAAAGATTTTATACAATTTATATCAGGAACAGAGGGAAGTGGGTGGGCAAGCCATATGATGCCAGAGATTACATATGCCTGTTGCACTGGTGACTTCATGTGCCTGTGCAATTTGTGAAAATTATGAAAATAAATCTAG